GCATAGAAAAGATTGGGGCCTTATCTTTGCATAATAATTTGCATAACTTTTTTTTAATTAATCTTCTTAGCAGTTTATTAAATATATTTATGCAAAAGAATACAATCTTCCATTAGATCTTCCCCACTTTACATGACATACACACAAAAATGTGCTAGCTAGTGGGTTAAATCCCATTCTGAGAGCGTAAGAGCACACTAACACATCACTGTCAAAACAATGGTGATTTACATAGTGTCATCGGTAGATCTGCTCTGACAGATTACGTATTTTGTATCTCTATTAACCATGCATCATTTTCACATTCTGTTCCAGTTAGCCTGTGACAGAGAACTATTTTTTAAAATCAGATCTCAAGGCAAAGAAATGTCAGGGTGGAAAAATAAATACATCAAGCTTCATGAAAGTATTGAACTAAATGACACCCTGACTTGAATTGGTGAAATCATGGTGAGTAGCTTTAAATAGAAATATTTCTGAAGTAAAAATACCACATCAGATGTTTCATAAAGTGAAGTTAAATTAGCATTAGAATAATTATTACTCTTTTTTTATTACATATTGAGTTGGATCTGTCTTCCTTTGAAGTCACCAGGAATATTAATATCAATTTAATTAAATTGAAGCAAGATCTAGTCTGGAAAGAGTTATTTTACCATGAATAAAGGAGAAAATGAAGTCTGAAACTCAGCTTTTCTAGCAAAGCACTGAACTCAGATCCCCAGAGATATTTAGATACCGATCTCCCACTGGACAAGAAATAGACAAATATATTTGAGAACCTGGAACTCATTAACTCTGATCCATATTGAACACAAAATGCATTCACCATTTCCCAAGACAGGTGAATAGTAAGTATAGCAATGTGGGAAAACAGCAATATAAAATCAGTATTATAAAAAAGGGGAGCTCAGCCTCTGCAATGATGAAGGCTGAACTGATTTTCCAACAGTCATTATGAACCATGGGAACTATGGCTACTACCTAACAGCTATGTGCAGCTTGCTGGGGGGTATTCAGTTTGGGGTTTCGTATACTACTTCTAACAACCAACTCCTCCAAAGGAAGGGAGACTGGCTGGCTGGAATCAGTCTGCAGGACAGAGCCGGGCAAGATGCCACCAGCTGAAACCCCTCTGGTTTAAACCACAGGTGACATTCTGATCTGAGTTATACCAAAGTTAATCAGACACACAGAGATCCTAATAGGATCAGAATCTAGCTCAGGATCAGTGTAAGGACTGTGGTCACTGGAGTATCTCGGATTACTAACAGGTTACTCTGTATTGCTTTCTTGGATTTTGCCAGAAAACTAGTATTGCCAGGACAATTTCCAATTACCAGCCTTTATTTTGAGTGTGCTGTACATGCCAAGGTGACCAGAGATATTATTTACTCTTCTTTCCCAGAAAAAATGTGCTAACTGAATGAGGGGAATTTTTCCCTATTTTTATCCTATTTTTGAAAAATGAGGCTATGCCAAGTGGAAGTTCATTGTCTCCTTCATTGACCTTGTGCCTGCATCTGGAATTTACTTTGACCCTATAACTTGTTTAAATTTTATAATCATGGCATAATTTAAGGGATTTTTGTCCTTTGCGTATTTTACAAGTCTGCCATTATTGACATAGTTTTCTAAAGATACACCCTGAAAGTTAATCTTATCTCAAATTAGTTTATCAGACATGGCGTTTATGGAGGTACTAGATGATTCTGTTCTCACAGAAGTTTCTTGCCCACATTATTCCCTTTCAGTGGAAAAAAAAAACAAAACCCGCAGAATGAATGATGGGAGGAAATTTCCCTTAAGATCCTCAACTGTTATCCCAATGGAGCCTGAGGTTCAAGCTCAATTGCTACAGAATATGTCTTGCGGTGTGTCCAAACCCCGCAGATTTCAAGGGACATTGAACCTTAGAGATTTCTAAAGAGGCCACAGCAATCTCATCAAGGGTTCTGTGTCTCTCTGTGAGTCTGTTTTCTCAGTGGGCGTTATCTCACTTTCACTGAAGTTGTATTACAAACAATTCCATGTAGTCAGAGAGCTCTGACCCTCCTTTGCTTTAAATGGACTGTGTAACTTCTTATCTGCTAAGCACCTTTACTGACCGGCTTCAGACTTGCTAGAAAAAATCTCCCACAGGATGTACAGATGTTATGTGGTAGGAAACAGGAGGTGAATTCTGAATTCTCCTGGCAAACTAAAGGTGCTAGAGTTTGGGACAAAGAAAATCTTAACACTGGACAAAGCAGTCATCAGCTGTGAATGTCGCGCCTCGCTACCTCATCACCTCACTGCCACGCCAGTGGAACTTTGTGGATATAATTTTTCTATCTGAGTATCTTAGACAATTAACTACAAATAAACGTAAGTACATCAGCTGAAGTCCTACTTCCTAATGCTTTCAGAGGTAGAGGACAACCTCACTGTGGCTCTGCTACAAATATTTTTTCAAGACCTCAGTGTTTGTGAGACATCCTTAATTCAAAAATTGAGGATGATTCTGGTACTGAGAAATCACAGATTCAGCTTTGTCTCACCCTCTGATAATATCGCAGACACTGCTGAAGAGCCGATGGATGCTATGAGAGATGATGAAATGAAGAAAAGAACAGGAAAGAACATCCAGTCTTCCACACAAGTAGTCCATGATCTCAACATGTCTGCATCCCTGGCAGAATGCACATCATCCTTAGCAAAACATCTCTGAGCATTTCAATCCTAATAAAGCAGACATTTCTGCATCCAAAACACATTTTAGGTTGCTAGAATCCAGCTGCAGTGTAGTTTTGTTACGATATTTAAAGCGCAGTTGTGCAGAATGTAGATGAGATTGCCGTGCTGAAGAACAGCTTTATCAGTTTCAGTAAAATACGTCCAGAAGACAGCAAAGCAGCAAAGCACCATTATTTTAAAGCAAACCAAAAATATCTTCTACAGACTCTGCAAATTTGTGGAGCTGCTGGGATTGTATTTTAATGTAATGTATTCATTATAACTACTATGTGTAAATAGCTACCGGTAATATATGACACGATAAACCTGCTACCACTTTGAGGAAGTACAGAATAGTCAGAGCTCCTAGTGAAACAGGTATGTATGGCATCTTAAGTGCGGCCTGGGCATCTCTGTCAGCAGTGGGTAAGGTAAAATCATTAAAAAATACGATTTCACTGCAAGCAGAGATGAGGACCAAAATTTAGGAGTCTTGCATAAAAAAGGATCTTCTAACCTGTATATTTAACCTTTTGATTTTTACCTATTCCAGTCATCACTACCGGCTTGTCCTTGATGAATAAAAAAAAAAAACAAAAACCTTGATTTTGAATGTAATTGCCAGGAATTAATCTACAAAACCCAAGTGGCTGTGAATGAGAATACGATACGATTACTTTGCAGGAATTTGGGAGTTCTTCAGTGGTACTCGCCATCCTCAGTAAATACACCTGGACAAAGGGTAGTAAAAATATTCTTACAGCAGAGATCCAACTGACTTCAACAGGAGACCTGTTTTTCCCATGTAGTACTATGAAAATATATAAATATAGATCAGCCAAAGATGCAGAATGTGTACAGTTAAGTCTTACATCTTTAACCATAGTGATTATAGTCATAATTTTTAAACCTCTGCCCAGGTCTAATTTATTCACATTATTTTTTTAATGCAAACAGTGATTTTAATGTGACAAAAATTAAATCAAAGCAGAAAGGAGATGCTGGAAAAACAAGAATGTTGAAGAGATGCTGAGGATGGGATTCAGTTACCTGTAAATAAGCTTCTAATACCGTCTTACACCGTTTAGGGACTATGTAGGGATCATCTCTTTGTTACCAGCTGCCACTTCAGAATGGCACTACTCTTCTGCAAGTCCTGTGCCATATCTGCCAGCCCAGAGCGGCTATCTCGGATACCCTAGGGCAATGAAAATAGTAATGATTGCTTATATTTAGGTAATGAATTTCACCATAACAATTTCTGTTCAGTGATATGTGAGCTCTGTCCAAATTATCCCCAGAAATGATATGCTGAGGAGGGAAGAATGGAGACACCTGAGTTGAACCAGCTCTTGTCCTGAGACAATAGAGTCAAACCGAAGTGGTGTATCCTTGTATGGCCCCTCTGTGTTATATGAGCTTACTGGTTGGATCTTTGTCAGCTCAAGGATCTCTGCACGATGTTATGCTACATATTGTAGAAACTACAGAGTTTAGGGAAACAGGAGAATGTTGGATTTCTCTTTGCATTTTGGCTATATGATGAGGGAACAGTCCTCAGGTAGAGGTGGCTGGGAACACCAAAAAAGAAATCAACATATAATTGTAGCTAGGAAATCTGTACCAGTAAAATGAACACTAATCAGCTGTCTTTGCTTTTAGTCTATTTTGCTTTTCTTTAAATTTCACTTTCCTCCATTTTCTGCTACTACTAACAGAACAGAGCATGATTTCCCTTTTCTACTTTCATAGGCACTTAGGATCCTGTATTTTTGAAAGATGCTGTCCATCAGAGGTTGAAGTCTGTCTTGTACCGTTCTCAGGTACGTTTAAATCTTCTTTTATCCTTCAAAGGCTGGCTGAAAGAAGTGTCAGGTCGTTATTTCAGGTTGTAGCTTAATACCTGGGCATATGATCTGTCTCCAGCCTTCACCAAAGACCTTCATTCTCTGAAGGTCAAGGTATTAGAATGTTATTTTTAAATATACTCCCAGCAGTGAAGAGTTAAAAATAGGCTTCTACGAAAAGGTACAGTAATTGGTTAAACCTGTTAGCCATCACATGAAGATGATAACTCCTCCCAGGAAAAGACATAGCAAAAGCAGCTTTGACATGGATTTATACTTAGAGGACCAGCTGCAGGCTTACTGGGAAGGAGTTCACAATGCAGGCTCTTGGATTATCAGCAGAAAAAACAGCTTGATTCTGGAAGGGAAGGGAAGGAGATATGAGAAAAAATCCCTTGTTGTGATCTGCAAGTGAATTCCACGGATCCTCTACTTTGGAACAACCACCAGTAGACAGAAAGTTTAAAAAGATGGAGCTGGGAAAGGCAAAGCTGCTGAGAACTGGCCTCAATGCTTTGTATCAAGCCATTCACCCTGTGCATGGAATTGCCTGGACAGATGGGAAGCAAGTGATACTGACTGCTTTATACTATCACAAAGGAGAGCTAAAGTTTGGAGACTCAAGTGTTGTCGGTCAATTTGAACATGTTCATGGGCTTTACTGGGGCCCATGTTGGTCGACAGACACCCCAGCTCTGCTTGCTGTTCAGCATAAAAAGCATGTTAGTGTCTGGCAGCTGGGCTACAGCACTGCAGAGAAGAACAAACCCTTGATTTCCCAGACTTGTGAAATTGGTGAGCCGTTTCCACTGCTTTCTCAGGGCTGTGTCTGGCATCCAAAGAAGGAGGTCTTGGCTGTGCTTACGAAAAGAGATGCTTCAGTCTTGCATGCTGTTCGTACTGATAATACTAGAGTTAAGGCAGATATTAAAAGCAGTGGGCTTATCCACTGTGCTTGCTGGACTAAGGATGGTAATCGTTTAGTAGTTGCTATAGGCAGTGCCCTGCATTCCTACATATGGGATGATGCTCAGAAAACTCTAAATACCTGCTCCTTTTGCCCTGTCTTTGACGTGGGAGGTTATATCTGTGCTATAGAAGCCACACTGGATTTCCAAATCGCTGTAGCTACTGAGCTTCCTTTAGACAATATCTATGGTTTGAATGCAGGCATTGCATTTGATGTGCCACCTGGTACAGAAACTGGTTCTTTAATCTCACAGTCTGCTCTGGTGCTTGGTGATGAGGAATACTCCATGGACCTGCGAAGAAAGTCCATAGATTCAGATCGATCAGGTGTTGATTCAGTTGCTTCTTCTTCATCAGGTCCTGTGGATTTAACCCATATCCTTGCAAACCACCGTCGGTCTGATCCCGGTCCTTTCATCACTCTGAAATGCAAAGACTCTGCAATGACAAATGGTCAAGATTCTTCTCACTTGATCTTGGTGACTTTTGAGAGGAAGGTAACCACCACCAGAAAAGTCACCATCCCAGGTATTCCGGTTCCTGATATAATGGCTTTTGACCTGAGAGCTCAGATTGTGGCAGTGGCCTCTAATACTTCTAACATTGTTTTAGTGTATTCAGTAACCTCTTCCTGCATGCCTCATATTCAACAAATCCAGCTGGAAAAAAATGAAAGACCAAAGGGCCTATGTTTTTTGACAGACAAACTCCTATTGATCCTGATTGGCAAGCAGAAGTTCCCTGAGCCTAATCTCATTCCATCTTCAAGTTCAGACAGGTATGTAATGCGTCTGATGATCAAAGAACTGATGCTGGAAGAAGATTCTTCAGCATTACCAGAGACTAAACAGAATATGTTCTATAACTTTGAATCCTCTGTTAATATTCCTGGAAAAAGAAAGTTCTTTGAGAATCTTGCTACAGGAGAGCAACCTCAAAGCAGGGAGCTTTTAGTACCAAGAACTACAGTTATTCAATCTCCTAGTGGCAGGAGAAGACTCATTGAAGAAATAAAGAACCCTAGCTATGAGCAGGGCTCTTCATCAAGTGTGAGTGACCTGGATGTAAAAAGGCTCCCAAGTGACCCCTCAGTGGCCTTGGAAACATTGGATGCTGAACCTACCAATCGTTCAGTGTCTATTCTCGGTTTTGGAACACCTACCCAGCTTTCCAATAGACCAGCTTCCCCTAAAGTGCAGCTGAATGTGATCCAAGAAGCATCAAGTTCTCCTAAAAACAACAATTTTTCAAGTGAAAGAGGAATGAGTCACATATCTAGAAATTTAGAGAGACTTTGTGGCAGCTTCAGTGAGTTACAACTGAGTCTTTCTGAAATAAAAGACCTTGCTAAAAATGGGAGGAGGATATCTTTAACCTATCCATGCTCCCAGGAACCACCTGTCGTTCACATCACTTACCAGGTAACTTTTTTGTCAGCTCAAATAAATTGTGATGGGATACAGTTTTAGACCAATCTTGTATTTATTTAGCTTTAAATCAAGAGGATGCAGTTTTATTCTTAACAACCCATGAGAAATGTAACCTGAGTCCAGCATCAAGCTTAATCTGAAATGGTACTGTGTGTCATTGAAACAATAACTCAGGATGATGTGGGTAACTTAAGACTATACTTCACATGGGAGATTTGTGTCTGTTCTTGTTTGATTATGCACAACTGCCTTGGGTGCTTGATTTTGTGTGCACCTATCAAAGACAGAGAATAGAGCCAAACAGTTGCTGATGTACAGGAAGTTTATACGTTCATTCAGTGTAGAGAGTAGCCCACCAGAAACATAACAAATTCAGACGTGAGCTCAAATCCAAAGTTTGAAGATAACTAGACTCTAGTGAAGACTGAAATACAGTATTGAATCTTCATTTATGGAAAATTTACATGGGCAAGACATGAAGTTGGTCTATTCCTACTTTAATTTCTCACCACTAATCTTCACAGAGCCAGACATGCTCAATTTGTAAAGCATATCACCACTTCAGACTTTTTGGGGAAAAAAATAATCTGTCAATATGCAATTATCATTTAATTAAATAAACAGATGAATGTCAAAATGCCATGTTCCTATCCCACCCTTGTTTTGGCAAAATTCCTACTGTCTTCAGTAAGAATTTCAACTACGGAATGTAGGTTGGGTAATTATTTCTAGCTATTATTCCTAGTATTACTTGCAGTAATACTAACATTATATTGATAATAGTTTTAGTCATGCTGAGGGTGGTGTTATTGTTGCTAAAGCTTTCAGGATGTAGATGCCAATTATAAATGCATTCTTATCTACTGCAACATAAGCAGCACTATGTCAAAGCAATATATTACATTGTGATGATGCTCAAGTATGTACTTCTCAAACAAATTTGACAATTTGACTTCCTTTTACTTTAAAGGAATCCATACAGACATCTAAGTACTCCTCCTTAAACACTCATTAAGGGAATAGTGACTCAATTCATCATATTCATTACGTTTTAGCAAGTGTTTACTTGGCTTTTAAGCAGATTCTACTATCTTAGCTGCTCTGAATAAAAGCAAAGCTTTTGGTCTGTTTTAGTCAATAATTTAACTTGAATACATTATACTAATTCTGGTGAAAGAAGCAACGTCTATTTTAAATAATCCAGGATTTTATTTGCCAAGAAGAAAGGCCTTCTGTTCTCCAGCATGTTCAAATTAATTCTGATATCTTAACATAAATCAAGTTATTTATTTAGCAAGTGGGCCTATCTCTTGGATTTGATTGGATTAACCTTTCCAAAGAGAAGTGTTGTTTTTGACAGGTAGCATTAATCTGAAGTCACTGTGCACATTTGCTTGCACGAGCAGTAAGAGTTCATTATCCTGTTTTTTCCCTTTGAATTAAAAAAAATAATTAGTGCTTCTAAAATACTGCTAGGCTAACTGCATTTAGAAACTAAGACTCTTATGTATCTGAACAGGTTAGTTTCACATTGAGCCAGCAGGAAACACTGCTAGTACCACATTATAGAGACTCAGAAAGAGCCACTTAATGCCTTTCCGACACACACAGCTTTTCTCTGTATGTCTCAACTAATGCCTTGCATAGCTCAGACCCTCTTCTGAAATCTAACAGGATCACAGCATGATGCTAAAAAGTAGTGGAAAATAGACTGATGGCAAAAAGGCCTCCAGACAGACACAGAAATATTTGCTTCATAGGCAGCTAATAATTTTCTCAGAAAATAGTTGTTTTGATTAGTTTGGATTCAGACATCTGAACCTTGTTCCTCCTTCAGGACTTGATTAGGGCTCTGTGAGCTCAGAGACCAGCTGGGCTGTGGGTTCCAGCCAGGCTCTGCGTTCACAGTGCAAAAAGTCAGGAAATAGCTTTATTGCCTTAGGATAGAAATATCAGCCTGTGGAAAACATCCTAAGCTTTAGGAACACTGCAGTCCAGTCAATAATATAGTCATTATCTTTCAGGTTTTTGTGCCAACTGCATGTCTTCCTAAGTGTTTATATAATCCCCAGGACAGCAGAGGCTCAATCTTGACTGAGAAATCTATTGTACTATAAAATATAACGATCACTACTGCATAACCATATTTATGCATTAAAAACATAAAAAGGAAGTTTAAAACATAATAGATAAAAATGTAGTAATAATTAACAGGCAATTATGAACACTGTTGTGTAGAAGCATTATTGATGTGTTTATGTATGTTTCCAGTTCTCCTTAGAAAACCCTAATATAAAGCAGAATGTGTATTGCTTAAGAATTCATAATGTCTGCTCACTAAATAGTCCTCAAAACCTTTGTTTATTCTGTACTGCTAGCCTACCTGTAACTCCTCTGAAGTCACGTGCATGCAGCACTACCAGAATTTGGAGCCCATAGCTATAAAAGAAAAACATGACCACTCACACTTTGGAAATGCCACTGCACTATCACTTGTGTAATAACATTCAACCACAAGAGGTGACTTGATCATTCAACCCTGAAAAGCAAATATTATTGCTCTTTCATCACATACAGACTTGTGATTCAGGATAGTGTGGGAGGGCAGACTGACAAATGCAGTAAAAGGATATTATTTAGAAAAAAAAAACAAGCCCCAAAACAAAGAAGAGATAAGGATCTGTCACAGATTTGTTTCTGTTTCATTTTGCAGAAAGATACTTTTATCATCCTTTTCCCCCAGAAAAGAAACAGCTGCAGAATATTTAAACTAGTCTCATTCAAAAGCTAATTACAGTGGAAATAAAGCCAATCTGGATTTGAAATTAATGACATTTAGGCAAACTCGCCAGGAGGAGTAAGATTCATCTTAATCTGAAGAATATCTTGAAACATTTTGCTCACAAGCAGTATTATGTCAAAAGTCATATGTCACTGAGAGCATATATTGCAGAATTAAACAGGAAACAACTATCTTTTCAGCAATTAGTCACAATGATTTCCTTTTCTTAGCACTCACCAATAATTGTATACAAGTCAATTTATACTTTTATAGCATCTTCATACAATTTACTATGGGAAACTTTATTGCCAAGGTCAGCTATAAAAGAAACAATTTTTCTACACAGAGCTCTGAGATGAATAGAAAGGATCCAAACATATGGCAATAAAGTTCTTCTGATAGAAATACATGAAATAAAGAAGGGGGAAATAAGGGTGGCACAGTAAACGAGCAAAGACCAGGCTGCAATGATCCACTGTAATAAGACCATGAACCCGTCTGAAATACAAGGGGCAATTTTGACTTGGGTTGAGCAATAGAAAGTAACTCATGAAAATGATGCAAGAGAAAGGCGATTTGACTGCTCCCTGGAGTAAGAAACTGGTCAGCCATCCTAAAGTTAGAAGGAAGAGATTTAGGATGACTGTAAAAGAAAGACCTGCAGTAGTCAAGAGAAGGTGTGATTAATGCAGAGGTAACATTGTGTGCAAAGGTTGAGGAATTTGTTAAAAACAAATTCTGATAACAATGTTCTGAGACTGATCAAAAGCAGACAAGCAGGCTTTGTACATGAGACACAGTAACTTTTATTAAAGCAGGGTATTTCTTTGTTGGATATATAGATGCACAAGAAAAGGAATATCATAGAACCGTATCACAAAATGGTTTGGGTTGGAAGCGACCTGCAAGGCCATTGAGTTTCAACTCCCCTTTCATGGGCAGGGACACCTTCCACTAGACCAGGTTTCTCAAAGCCCTGTCCAACCTGGCACTGAACACTGCCACGGATGGGGCAACCACGACTTCTCTGGGCAACCTGTGCCAGTGCCTCACCACCCACACACTAAAGAACTTATTCCTAATAGCTAATCTAAATTTACAGTCTTTTAGGTTAAAGCCATTCCCCCTTGTCCTGTCACTCCATGTCCTTATAAAAAGTCCCCCTCCAGATTTCTCATCATGCTCTTTAGGCACTGGAAGCTGTTCTAAGGTCTCCCTGGAGCCTTCTCCAGGCTGAACAAGCCCAGCTCTCTCAGCATGTCTCCGTAGCAGAGGTGCTCCAGCCCTCACAGCATCTTTGTGGCCTCCTTTGGACTTGCTCCAACACATCCACTTCCTTCTTATGCTGGTGCCCCAGAGCTGGATGCAGTACTGCAGGTGGGGTCTCACCAGAGCAAAGTAGAGGGGGAGAATCACCTCCCTTGACCTGCTGGTCACACTTCTTGCAGTGCAGCCCAGCATACAATTGGCTTTCTGGGCTGCAAGAGGACATTGCACACGTAATGTCAAAAATTAATCCAAGTTTTCACACTATACAATGAAAGTAAATAACTGAGTTTAAAAAAACAAAAACAAATCCACACTGAAAACAAGTCATCATGAAAGCACAAGCATGAAGACAAAGGGTATCTTAAAAGACAATCAACCTGAACCAGTAGTTGCAGAACTATCAACAGGGAGCCAAGTGTAGAGAAATCCTGGCATATCACCTGAAATGCCAACGTGCATAAATGCAAACTGCACTGGGATTTAAGCACCCACGAGTACATCAGATCTCTTCCAATGTAGATGTTTTACAGGCTTATGCTTCTCTGACATCTTAATTAGGTTTGCAATTGGAATGTCCCACATAAGGACAAGCTTAGATACTAAGAACTCCCCCAAAATAACATCAGGATCCAGCAAAAATCAATCAGAAATCACAGCCACAGTGGAAATCATGACAGGAAATGCAGAGCATTGTAGGCTGCCAAACCTAATTAATACTACCCATGGCAATGCTGCACAAGGCATAATGAGACACAGTACTTTGAATGTCAAAAATCATGGTTCTCATTCCTCCTCAATTAGCCATCTAACATGGCTTTCCATTGTCCCCTGGACCAGAACCCCATGTCTATTTAGTTTACTAGATCTTTTTCATCCTTCACAATGTATGTGAGGGCAAGGCAAAAGCAAGCTAATGAGTACTAAGGCATCAAAACTGACATCCCACTGAAGCACAACACAAAGAACTGAAATCGAGGGTTTAGGAAAATGAAAACAGAGTTCTGGCACTACAGCACCATTCATCTTACAGTGCAGAGCTGTGAGTGACTACCTGGATACCTTTCCTTTATAGAAGAACAGATTATTGACACAAAGGACATCAAGAATATTTGAAATACCTGTAATACAGTACACTACTAGAAATCATGCCACAGGGGAAATTATTTGTTCAACAACAGAGAATAGGGATTAATAGAAGATATGTAAGATGGTTAAGGAATTAGCTGGAAGGAAGATAGTAGACAATTAAAGTAATATCAAAGAAAATGGAAGAAATTTACTAGTGGATTTTCTCATGATTGATCTTCAAGCTAATCTAAAAGTTTCATTAATGATTTGATGAGATATGCCAACAAAATCTGTGTGTGGCATAAAGTCAGTAGTATTTTCAATAGAGGATCAGGATATCACACCTGTAATTTGATGACTTTAGCATCTAGAATTTAAAAAAAAAAAAGGACTGAAATGAACTAATGTGAAGTGTACAGTGATATATTCCAGGATTAATAGAAGGAATTTCTCCTATAAACTGGATATTCATTAGCTGGAAACAACCATGAATGACAAAAGATTGCATGTGTTAAGTGACTACAAGATGACTATGAATAAAAAATGTGCTTAAGAAAGGAACAAAGCAGTCTGTGGGTACACCGGCAAGGTAAACCCAATAAAGTAATGCCATACTGGGCAACACAGATGTGAGGCCTCACCTTGAAGATGTTTTACATTCCTACATCCACGTGCATGGCACATTCAAACTGCAAAATCCGTTACTTACCCAGAATTAGTAAAACCAATTCTGATTAGTAGCATATTCATATTTACCTCACTGTTTCATCAGTCATTGAATTCAAATTCATGAAGATGATTTTAGCATTCAGACAGGTGTAGGCAGTACATGAGGAAACACAAGATAAATAGTGAAAAAGGTTAAGAGGCAGAACTAGCTGACAGTGGGGCTCAAGAAAGTGACAAAAGACATGTTTATTTATCATGCGGTCTTCTGGTGTACAACATCTAATCCGGGAACCCTTTTTGCCTTAGGAAATTATTTTCTTCTCCAATATATCTGCATTCCAAAACATGAGTTTTGAAAGACAATTTGGCAATGCTGCAATGGTCTGGCTGCTGCCCAGAAGACCCAGATTTATAGACATAAATTCTAATCTGTCATGATCAGAATTTATAAGCTATAAATTCTGATCAAGGGGCAGGCTGACATGGGTGAAGGAAAAACAATTATTGAATCGGTGGTTTCTTTCTGTTGGATTTTGTTGAGGGAGAGTTGTACTTCGCATACTGCAGCAAGCTGGCTAAAGAACTTAATCTGAAAATATCCTCTCACATAAGTGGAAATCTGTTTGTTTTCTCTGTGATTAATATGCTCTTAGTCTACCAATAAACTTTGGTTTAGGATAAAACAACTAAGGGATTTTAACGTGAGAATTGCAAGCCCTCTGGCTCCTACTGGACATAAACAGCAACAAAGCAAAACCATCACATATTTTGGGAAGACATGGATTAAAAGTAGATTTGACTAGAAAATTGTCTTTGGTTTAAGGCATGAAAATAGGAAGTACTAAGGTGAGATTTTATTTGTATTTATAACTGTCACAAATTACTTCCATGACCTTGCGTAAATCTCTTAATCTTCCTGTGTAATGGTTTGATCATCTGTAAAAAGGGAATACTAACAGTTACCTGCCTCTCAAAAACAGACGAGTTTAAATCAGTTAACCCATGTTATGATGTTTGTGAACATATTCCTCAAAGATAAGGCATGTTATCATCATTTAAACTAAACATTAAAGGCATGTTATCATCACTTAAACTAAAAAAGACAAAATAATTAGAGGATTAAAACAGAGAAAGATTCTTGACTTGACAGAATTTGCCAGCAGACAAAAATAAATGTAAAGATGATTACATTTATCATCATAAACAGAAGCATATGACAAAGACAGAGAGAATAACTAATATGAATGCTCACGAGTGATGAAAGAAACAACTCCGAAACTTAAGCTTTGTACTTGAGAAAATGCTTAGGATTAAAAAAATATATGCATTTAGTTCTGCATATACAAAACTATCTTCCACTTCCAATGGCTGTTCCAATAACTTGCAAGGCTAACTAGGAAATGTACTAGAACAAATCATCCTTAGTATAGATTTCCATTTAAGTGATTTCAAGGCAACAGAGGCAGATATAGATTGTCTTCTTGTTAATTTTGAGTTAAAGCATATCTACATGAAAAAGTGAACCACTTGGGTCAAGACAATGTACTTGTATTCCTTACAGCCCACCTTTTACTGTAATTTATTAATTGAAGTACAAGTTTCAACCTGATTTCAGGAAAATGTAGTAGTTGTTACTGCTGAACATGTAGTTTTGAGCCCATTGAGTTTTAAGTGCATTTAGATTCTATAGAATATACTACTATATAATTTGAAGAGACGTAAAAATGACAAAGAAATTCTGTTATATAGTTACAGCTGTAATAAAAAGTTACTATAGGTTTATGACAACAGAAAAATACACTTCATTGATGAATTCCTTATTAATTACGCAGCAACTAATTTCTGGTTGTTTCAAATGGGGAAAGGGATGAGAAGACCTTTGAAAGCTGGGAAGCTTACACTTTTAACAGAAATATATCCGTACAGTTCTGACATCTTCAGTCAATCCTAATACATAAATAAATAACCATCCATAGTCTAGCTGCACGGCCAATTTATTAGAGAAGGGGGAAAAAAATACTTTTGCATGAGGTTGGCAGACATTCGCATTTACAGAATCCAGTGTGGCACACGTATTATGTACAGAAAAAGGAAAGTGATCGATCTAGAAAGGTTGTTACACATTACATGGCAGAAAAAAGGCACACTCACTGAGAGAGTGAATTAGTCAAAAGACAGCACAATTAGAAAAAAGATAAGCATTAAAAAAGACATTTACTTAGTCAAAGGTTAGATTATTCTGCACAGAAATAGATGATGTCGTGAATTCATTCAGCATTTCGTATAGCAAGGAAGGACATGAAATAGACACAGAAAAGGCAGGACTAAAACAGGAGTTAGAATAGATGACATCTTCTCAATCCATTCTAAAATGTTAACTTGAATCCCTTCTGAATGTGCAAAACAGAAAGGTCTAGGAGATGGGATAAGTAAAACTGTTAATTCAAAGAACAAATAAAATCTGTTAAATCTGGGTTTATTGCAAACATAAGAGTTGCCAAAGGAATAAAAACCAAACCATAACACATGGGAACCACACAGGTGGTAATTATGGAGAGGAAAGAACAAAATGAAATTCAGAGGACAAAGTATAACAAGATTATCCAGAAGAAAATGTCCAATTCACATATATTTTATAATGGCATTGAGTCTCTGGAAAATTTTAATGCTAAAACAACTTTCAAATGATAGCCGATAGGAAAATCTCAATGCAAATATTTATCTACTCCATAATCACATTAGCTCAACCATTTTGTGCTCCTTGCACTTTGCAGTAATCAGAATGATGGAACATGAGGTTATCGATTCTCAAGGCCAGCTAAACATCATGAAGCACCTTTGTATGTGTGTGTTCTTTTAGTGAATGGCAGAGCAAATTCCAGGGCTGTAAATCCATACATTCCCTCTCTCTCAAAGAAAGTCACAGGATTCCCAAGCTGCTTTGTTATGACAGATTTTTGGAGAGACTGTTGCTATGCCCAGTCTCTCTGCAATTCTCTCTGTGCCAGAACTGAGGGGTGAAATAGCTGATCAGCGACTATCAAACCCACCCACACATACAACTGAAACTGAGCAGATTACTCATTTGCTCTGGTAGCATCTTGGACAACTTCATTCCAGGCATCATGTATTTCCTTCCACTGAACTGACTCTTCAGGCAGAAAGGGCCCACGGCCACATACATACATGAACCGATACATGACATACAGGGCTGATGTAATTTTGAGCTGCATAAGTGCAGAAAGCAAAGAGTCGTATTCCTCTTCACCTGGGACTAAGAGTTTGTGCTTAGAATTTCACTGCAGGATGGTGTCATCTATAAATTGTAGCAAACATAGACAAGGAAAAAAACAAATTGCTAAAGAACCAAAAGGAGTAAGGGCAGAGGAATGGTTAAAAGAACTCAGGCACAATGTCTAAGCCTTTAACAAGATCTTTTCTTTTACATCCATGCATTTGAAGAAAAGTTTTTCAAATGGAGCAGTTTCGGAAGAAACAAAAGATGTTCTCCTCTGTGATGGCAAGATCCCTTTGAATTTAGTCCAGCAGCTGTTTGATCTGCCTGTTATTGAAATGAAGCACGGTATGTTCTTTTTATTTCTGGTATCTGCTTTCACCTGGGATTTTTAATGTAAAGGGCATTTATGGTAGAATAATAACCCCATGCTGTAATAAACTGAGATAGCTAATATTTTTTGATAAGTGTGTGTTTTCCTTTGCCTGAAATATGGCAGAGTGTCTTGAAATCACTTAAATGCTAAGTAACTGCAGAACTACCCATTATCAGAATAATACGTTAGAGGAAGGCTGAGAAAATAATCAGTATGCTGTGTTACCTAGAAATAGAAATGCTGCCTTGACACCTTTTGGCATTTTGCTTTGCCCATCTTTACAAGCATGTTCCAGATCTGACAACAGAATTACCTTGTCACTGTATTCTCACATATGCTACCTTCTCAGCAACACACATACTGTTATTTTTTAGCCATTTCTGTACAATGCTTCAGGTGGCTTTCCTCATCAGGGTCTAAGTATATTATGATCTTACGGTACATAGTAGCTGGCTATAATTATGATCTCCTTTCAAGGTTTCCACACTGACAGATCCATAAATTACTCTGTCTCATCCCTTGCCTTAGCCCCTGACAGGCTGAGACATATTGGCTTAATCAGTATACTCTGTCCTACGAGAAATGAATTGAACAGTTGGTGAAAGCAACCAGGCATAAATAAAGGCTGGGTGAAGACTGGAGTGAAAGCAGCCCTGAGGAGAAGGACCTGGGGGTGCTGGCGGATGAGAAGTGCAACATGACCTGGCAATGGGCACCTGAAGCCCAGAAAGCCAACCATAGGCTGGGGTGCACCAGAAGTGTGACCATCAGGTCAAAGGAGGTGATTCTCCCCCTCTACTCCACTCTGGTGAGACCCCACTTGCAGCTCTGGGGACCCCAGTGTGGGAAGGGCTTGGACCTGTTGGAGCAAGGCCAGAGGAGATCACAAAGATGCTCAGAGGGCTGGAGCACCTCTGCTATGGAGACAGGCTGTGAGAAGGCTCCAGGGAGACCTTAGAGCAGCTTCCAGTGCCTAAAGGGGCTGACATAAAATACAAAGAGGAACTTTACACAAGGGCCTGTCGGACAAGACAAGGGGGAATGGCTTTAACCTGACAGAGGGGAGATTCAGAATAGATATTAGGAAGTTTTTCCCGCTGAGGGTGGTGAGGCTAAGCTGTGGCTGCCCCGTCCCTGTCAGTGTTCAAGGCCAGGTTGGACAGGGCTTGGAGCAACCTGGTCTAGTGTGAGGGGTCCTTGCCCATGGCAGGGGGGGGTGGAACGGGATGATCTTGCAGGTCCCTTCCAACCCAAACCATTTTGTGATTCAATGATTCTACGAAGAAAGAAAAAAAAAAGAAAAAAAGAAAAAAGTAATATTCTAAGCTGTAGTTTTCTAACTAGTAACAGTTACATACCAGACTTTGAAATAACAGGCTTACTGGTGAAAAAGAAACCAGGCCTGGGACGTTACTGGTGCTGGCATATTCGACAGTTGGAAGAAAGAAATGCAAAATACACACTATTCTGCCATTCAGATTCTGTTTATCTCCTTGTTGATGAAACCACAAGGCTGAAGGAAAGGGGCTACAGCTACAGTACAGATCAGGGGAGCTGCCTTTATTTAAGACACATTTGGCCATTTCAGTTTTCCCCAGGCTTACAGCAGTTTCAGAGAGTTGCTCCAGAAGATAAGGATATGCAGGGTTTGTATTTTTGTCAGCATTCTCTCTCACCTGTACAGTGCAGTGGAGGCATATATGAAAAACTCTGCTTGCTCTTGAGGCCTGAGACGTTTCCCAGCAGGCTCCTGAAATAACACGGTGCAGCTTTGCAGGGCAAGGAGGATACTGTTTTTGGCCTGTACTTCCAGCTCTTGATTTTGGAAACAAATGCCCATAATGAAAAAAAGAGGCTTAGATTTTGGTATGAAGATAATATGGGCCTGAGAAAACCTATATTCAGCTCTACAGAACAGTTGAATATGTAATACTTAATTAGCACAGCATCACTTCTCAATTTCATGCGTTAGACTTTAGAAACACCAAAAACACAGCGTCTCAGAATCATCATAAATTGTCTCTCTTTATGTTCAATGGGGTGCTTGGCTTTTCTGAAATTGAATCTGTTGACAGCAAGAGGAAAAACTGAAACAAGAATCTTTCTACAACTCACCAAAATCTTGCAAAATTACCAGGTTTGGACAGAAGCAGTTTATGTAGCTCTTATTCAGTTCTGACCAGTAAAGGTTTATGTTTCTAAATTTTTCCTTTGCCACAAGGCATGAATATTAAATGTGAAGTTTAAAAATACCATTCCCATCCTTTAATACTATATAATTAAAGGGGATGTAATGAAAAGTGTGCTCATATTACAGTGACAGCCTGGCATTTTTTACTTTGAATAAACACTTAAACTTGAATATACTGGGGGAAAAATGTTCACAGCTGTAGGCCAAATTAATATCCGCAGCAAGGCTATGAAGATCATTAGAGTTACACAAGCAATGAACGTGGCCTCACTGTTTGCACTCTAAGCCCAGGACTGTAATGCCATTACCTGTACTAAATGCAGCCTGACATATAGTGCCCTGCTATTAGCACACAGAAGTCTCTCTTTTCAGCAGGGTGTCATCATAATAATTGTCCATAGCAAAGGGGTATTACATTCCATACAGGGTTTTTCCACCCTTTAAATATTTTGTGGGATATCATTCAAAGCAAATGTTATCAACAACACAGAGAACTCAAAATAGTTCAACAGATGAAAAGAAAAAGTCCCAAGAGTTTGACAAAAATGCTTTATACATTTGACCAAGAATGCAACCATCAGTTTGGACAGCAGGATTTTCACTTTTAGGCCCGTAGCTTACAGAATCTGAAGTCTGTCCAGAATTAGAAAGAAAGAATTAAGAGTAGAAGATTAAAGACTCATGGTTTGGAATGACAATCTTCTTATGATATAACAGGTGACAAGACAACACGCAATAGAGTAGCAGCCTGGAAAAGTGCTTTGTTAATAGCATAAGGAAGGGAGATTTGTCTCATGCAGGAACATGCTTTGTCATGACTGACAAAATTAAGCACAGTTCCCCTGGATTTTCTACAGTTCCTTTTTTTCACACTCCTTTTCAAAACACAGCTTTATCTCCCCAAATATAAAATTTCAATAACAGAACGTATCAGGGCTTTCTCTGCCTCATACTCCAGTTAATGCCTCTGCTCTGTAAGGACTGGATCACAGGCTGTAAGAAGAACGCATCATACAAAGGCTCCCACAATGCTTTTCAGTTGCCACAGATTTTTTTTCTTTTTCATAAAATGTCAAACTGAAAACAAAGCCAAATAGAGAATTCACTATTTTATATAAGAACTGCAATATCCAGTCCAAAAAGAAACAGATGGATCACTAGAAAAAAATACACAGTACATATAGCTTCATTTTCAAGCTGACTTGCAAAGAAAGTAAAAAAGCAAGGGCAGGAAAGGTTTGTTTTCTGCTTCTATGCAATACATAAAGTGAACTTCAATGATTTTGATGTCTTTGGTTTCTAATCTTGCCTCTTTTTAACTTCAGGAAAGAAAAAGATTGAAAACATCATTCAGATTTTGTTCATTCTCTTTAAGAGAAGTTTTGATAAATAATAAATTTTATTATATCAGCTTTTGTAAATCATGACATCTTTTGTAAATCTTCAAAGTGTAACTTCCTTCCATTTGCCATATGAATTTGAAAACACTGAACAATCTTGGCTTGACAGTAAAGGAGATGGAAACCCCTACTTTCTTCTAGAACAAATACAGCACAATCATTTCTTTGCCAACTTTTCCAGTTTTTATGATCTCTTCATCATTGGGGTAGAGCAGATGAGCAAAATGGATAAGCAGAAGTAGACATCAGTAGAATAAAAGTCAGCATAGAAAGGCTGGCTGAGTTTTCAGAAAATGGAGATACTTACTGTTCATCAGAACAAGCAAGGATGCACCTTGTTTTTCAACCTAATTTAAATAAGGGACAAAATGCCTCAAACCTTTCAAGACGTTTCATTTAGCCTCTCTTTGCATTTACATGAAGGTGTGTTCAGCATGGATTGTCAGACCTTAATGTCATTAGCGTAATAAGGCTTTAGTGCACAAAAAGACAGGCTGCCCTGCTCGCATGCTGGCTGGCTTTTTAAAACGTGCTTGTACATTTTATGTAACCAGAGCAGTGCACTCATGTTCTTTTTTTGCTTATTTTTTGTAGGCTCTTCTTGGATTGTTCTCACTGCAGACAAGGATGGCTTTGTGCCATTAATATTCAAAGCAGCACAAGAGATAATCATAAGGGATGGAACTGACAGTTCAGAAGTCTGCGGAGATCACTCCTACAAAAAAAGCATTTCAAGTCGACCACCAAGCAGAGTGACATAATTTCTGAACAAAGACAGCTAACGACCTTCTTGTCTACTATGATACAGAGACATTCCGCAGTGTCAGAAACTGAGTGACTAGGAAGCTGTCTTCAATACTGTCTATTTTAACTAAAATCCATGGCATGGTTACACTATAGCTAAATCCTAGGGTTGGCTGGACCCTCATGATTTCTTGTGAAGGATGAGACCTAGAGTGAAGTTTACCACAGCTGTGGTCACTAATGGCTGCCAGTGAACTGAAGTAAAGAGACTAGCCTCTACTTTAGTTGTGGTCAGGATGTTCTTGGAGAAACTATATTACGCTAAAAATCACGCAGGAACAACAAATCTAGCTAATACAGGTGCATGGTCCACACAAAAGCTGAAGAAAATACAACTAAAGAGTATTTATATTCATTAAGGAAAACTAGGAAAGGAAAAAAAAAAAGAAAACTGCTTCAGGCTCTCTTCTCTGTTCCAGCTGGATCCCATGGAAACCTGCAACTTTCCAGAGATGCTTCATTTTTGTATGAAAATGTTCAATTACTAAAAAGGCTGCATCAGTGTCTCCTGTCAGTGTCTTACACAGTACATAGATTTATATATGCACACAGAAAAGAAAATACCTTACAACATAAATTAAAGTTCAATGACATTGAACATAAATTTCATTTGGCTGAACACAGGTGTCTACAATTGAACTTGTCATCCAGGCTCCTGCATGATCAGTCAAAAAAACAAAAGCACTTCTACAGCAGATTACTAATGCCCTAACATACATTTCTAAAACTGATTGTGGTGAACCATTTCTAGTAAGTAAATAAGTAAATAAGTGCCTATTCCTTGCCACTGACTGCAAAAGCAAGCTGAGGTAACTAGTTTAAACACATTTACGTTTAGTCAGATTAACCCCATGCTCAGAGACAAGAGGAAACACAGATACAACCAAGAAGCAGGCAGACAGATTTGTGAAAATGAAACTATCATGATTATTGTGACAGAAAAATGCATGAGGGAAGAAGTGTGACCACCAGGTTGAGGGAGATGACTCTCCCCTTCCACTCTGCTCTCATGAGACCCCACCCACAGTACTGTGTTTAGCCCCAACCTAAGAAGGATGTGGAGCTGTTGGAGCAAGTCCAGAGGAGGCCACAAAGATGCTGTGAGGGCTGGAGCACCTCTGCTATGGAGGCAGGCTGAGAGAGCTGGAGAAGGGAAGGCTCCAGGGAGACCTCAGAGCAACCTCAAGAAACCTGGAGACATCTTACAAGGGCATGTAGGGACAGGACAAGGAGAACAGCTTTAAACTGAAAGAGGGGAGATTTAGATTAGATATTAGGAAGAAATTCTTCCCTGTGAGGGTGGTGAGGCTCTGGCACAGGCTGCCCAGAGGAGCTGTGGCTGCCCCATCCCTGGCAGTGTTCAAGGCCAGGCTGGACAGGACTTTGATCAACTTGGTCTAGTGAAAGGCGTCCCTGCTCATGGAAGGGGGGTTGGAACCGAATGGTATTGAAAGTTCCTTCCAACTCAAACCATTCTGTGACTCTATGATTCTCTGAAGAACTGAATGAACTCCTTAACTTTTCATCCTCTAAATGGAAAGAGATGGATAAAGTGTAATGAGCAGCCGTGGGTGTGCAGCCTAGCATTTTGTATTGCTGGACAGGCCCCAACAGAAACCATGGAAAGGCATGACTGCTTCACCCTATATGCTCAGGGAAACATAAAAGGGATGAGACTTATGTAAGCTACTATTAAGACTTATTTTCCATACTGTATATTTTGGATCTTCTTAATACTCTGAGACAGTCTTTTATCTCCTGCCTGGGAACCATGGCAAACCTTTTTATAGAGCACAGATATGCTAAAATTCAGTTACAATACTTCACCCAGTATGAAGGCTCAATCAAGAAGGTGGTTTGAAGGCACTGAATGGGTTTGGAGGTTTGGCGTTACTGCCATTCCAGGGTACAGCCAAAAATCTCATGAGGAACAGTTTCAATTCACTGAATTATAAAATGTCCTTCTCATGCAAGTGTCCTCCCAGAGGCTAAGGAATCATCATTCTATACCACCTATAACCACAGGTATGCAATGTAGCTGGGTATATTTGTACTACCTTGTTCAAAAAGGCCTTTCTAAGAAGCCTTGAGGAGTATTCCTGTTTGAAAACCAAAAAAATAAACCAAACCTGACCTTTTAACTATTAAATGCATCTATTACTTTACAGTTATTTTGTTAACTGGATTTCCAGCTGCTTAGCATTAAAACTGGTTTCAAAAAGGTATTTCTATTATTACTGCTTTAAAAAATTTGGGTTAAGTCACACTTTTCCTCACAGAAATCAGCAGAAATCATGGAAACCAAGGAAGTAACACACAGGTTCACAAACTTAGTATAGTCAGGGAAGGCATTATCAGGTTTCAAAATGACATAGTACATTTTGAAGCAGAAGATGTTTCCAACCCTGCAAATACACTTGAACATCATCCTTGTGTCTCACAACAGTGTACGGTATTTACAATGCTTATGCTAAATAAAACTTGATTAACTAAAATGATGGAAGGATATATTTTAGAGGACTGCTTGGGCTCAACTAAAGAAAATACTAAAAGAAATTTTTCTCACAAATATTATCTTATGTGGGTGGTAGTACCACAGTTCGGTCCACTTGAAATGAGGCTAATGAAACACAAGAAATACAGTATATGGAACGTTCCTGCACTCTAAACATATGAATTTGAGGAAAAATTGGCTGATAACATACTAACACACCTCTGTTTGTACAGCAGAGTTTCTCTGAGTTCATTATATATATACATTATTCATAAGGACCTCCTTGTTGCTAGAGGAATACTAACATTCCACTTCATGTCATCTTCGTGCCTTTGTGCTGTTGCAACAGCCAAAAGGGAAACTACGAGAAGGTGAAAATCTTAACTAGCAGAGATCGGCAAATGTCTACACATCAAAGATGCTTCACAACTTGTAATTATCACTAGACATCATTGTCACTCTGTCTTCTGTAAATCTGAATGTTGAGATCAGGAGTGAAAGGAGCGTCTCTGAATCAGTTTGGCTTGGTTTGGTTTGGCGGCGATAAAAAGAAGCAAATAAACTTTTAGATTACAAAGCAATTAGTTTCAGGGAATAACTGGCTGTAAAATTTAAAAACTTAGTTCTGTGATGCTTAATGAACTTTTGGATTTGTTATACTTTGAGTAACATTGTTTTCCCCTGCTGTATGATTCCAGGGTTATTGACCCTAAGTAAAAAACTGTATCTGCCTGAAGGTGCTATCAGCACTCAGCACAATTAGTCTGGTAACAAATGGGGACCCCAGTTCATTTGTTGGATGGTTAAAATTTTTTAGGAAGGCTGAGGGAAATTATACCATATACTGTGGCAGGGGGGGTTGAACTAGAATATCTTTAAGGTCCCTTCCAACCCGAAACATTCTGTGACTCTACTATGATTCTATGATTAATTAAAACCATATAATGTTAAAGAATAGCACTGCCCTCCCATTTGAACACACTATTATGTGCATTTACTTGTGTCCTGGGTTCAGCAGTAGCAGTCAATTTTCTCCTTCTTGGTAGCTGGTGCAGTGCTGTGTTTTGACTTCCAGCCTGGGAACAGTGCTGATAACAATGATGTTTTGGTTTGGTCAAGGACTTTGTGAGCCTCATGCTCTGCCAGGGAGGAGTGGAAGCTGGGAGGAAGCAGAGAGAGGACACCTGACCCAGGCTAGCCAAAGAGGTATTCCATACCACAGCACATCATGCCCGGGGGGGTAACTGGGAGTTACCCGGAAGGACACGGGCTTCCGGGTGGGACTCATGGACTCATTTCTTGGCTGGTGGTATCGTATTCTCTTCCCTTGTTATTTTCTCTTATCATTGTTGTCGTTGGTAGTAGCGGTGGTGATTTGTGTTGTACATTGGTTGCTGGACTGTTCTTGTCTCAACCCGTGGGAGTTGCACTCTTTCGATCCTCCTCCCCGTTCCTCCAGGAGTGGGGAAGGGGAGAGCCCCGGGGGGAGGGGGCTAGATTGCTGTCAGCCCAGCACCACTCACTGGGAGTGAGTGAACAAGTTGCCTGACTGAGTTTAAACCACAACAACTTGAAAATAAGTGTTTAAATCATATACACACACTTAAAAATGGACAATGATTAAATGAAGAGATATTTGTTTGCAGGTAATGATTTAGGAGTGCAGTACAGCACACAACTATCTACTACAGTGTCTATCACAGGGCTGTAAAGTTAAAATTGAAAGCAATAAAAGCACTGGAAGAAGTGCTGAAGAGATTTATGCAAAGCACAGGATAAATTTTCAGCTTTGGTTTGGATGGAGAACAGATGGAGAATCAGTGAAGAAGAGAGATATAAGACGACTGTTCTATTAAGCACAAGCTGTACAGAAGATTTTTGCACAAACAGTGATAAAGACATGTGGAAAGCTAGGAAGAGTTTGACAAAATGAGTAGAGCAGACAGCAGGCTGTGAAAAGGAGAAAAGCATCAAGAAGTGCTCATCACCCTCCAGAAGTGCTGTTTTATAGGGCCAAAATCAATTAGTTCAGAAAAAGGGGAGTTGTTCAGATCACCTAAATTTCCTGAAGGTGCTAACCCCCTTTTTGGGGCTCCTTCTTCCACCAGTAGAAAGGACAGCCTCCTCTGGAAGAATAGTGAGACTACTGGTTCTAGGTTCCTGTCCAGAGACACCCAGTAAGGGAGTCTGTCTTCTGTAATGAGAACAGAGGAAAGGCAGAAAATTAAGAGTTTAAATTAGAAGAAGAATGACTCCACTCAGTATGCCATACCAGTGGTGCTCAGAAGACGAAATGATGCATCAGCTCCCCTCAAACATTTTCCTTGTGGGGACTAAACAAATCTATATTTCCATTTTAATTACTCTGCATCTTTATCCAGCACATTTTTATGCATCCTGGTATGTTTTCACGAGTTGGCATATCTTTACTTCTAAGTACAATCTGCTTCAAAGTCAAAAACTTACCTTACATTTACCATAACTTTGCTACTAAGCATGCAGCAGTCTGCTTTACTTACTCTTCATGGTTTCTTGTATTGACCCAATTCATAAGAAAATGCTACCAACAGAAGTTCTAGATGCCAGACAGGCTTTTTCTTTCTTGATATTGAAAAATAATTTCTGAGGACAATAATAAAACAACATAAAAATTAACTGTGACAAGATCAAAGTCAGCTGAAATCCTGCTGGCCTATCTATGATGCTGACTGCACAATGAAATATTACTTTGATATTCTTCGTAATAGCTAAGAAGTGAGAGATTACTGCAGGAAGTATATGAAGGACGCCCTGCAACTAGTTCCTCCCTTTTCTCCTCTATTAGTATACAATACTATTACCTATACTCATGTGAATTTCCTTTAATATCTTTTCAACCACTGAAATAGTATAAGCTAATGACCAAGCCTAACTTCCTTTCCCCTGATTCTCATCTGTTTTCTCAGCTTGGACAATAAACATATTTTTAGCCACTTTTTACTTTCAGGTTTTCCTGTTTTAACAGAAAACCACAAGCACTGGACCATTTCCCCATGCCAATATGTAGCTGAAGAGTCTTTCTCTCTTACCTGAGACAGTGCCAATTATTCTTAAGTAACTCCTGATATTTATCTAACTTGTTCTTAAAAAACCCAAAATATAGTACCACATTGCAATTATGAAACTAGCCCTTCAGACCGGGACTCATCTGCCCTAAATTTTAAGCATGTGAAGTCAGGCAAAGTAAATCCCAGGGGTTATGCAATTTCACACATGAAAGTATTGATTTATTTTCCGTTGTCCCATATTTCAGAAATTAACTTAT